AGCAATAGTTTCCATTGACATTTCATATTTCAGACTAATTTTTATCAATGTAAAATTAGTGTGATTAACACAATTGAAGTTTTGTTGGTTCGAGAATTAGCATGCTATTACTGTTATTTTACATATAAATATTTAACCTAAGTAACAAAATAAACAATAACTACTTAAAAAATGAAAATAGGTGCTCAATTGATTATGTTCAAACTATGAATTCCGTTAATGCATAATTGCTAAATTTTATTTTCATTTGTAGGAAATCAATATGCATCGTATATTGATTAGGACTAAATTACTGATTACCTAAACAAATCGTACCTAAATTCATGATGTCATAAGTATTGCATTTGGTCACCTTTGTACTCTTGCCATTGTCCTTTCTTTCTATTTATATTTTAAGGATGCAAAGTTCTTTTGATTGTATTAGTGAAATTGCATAAATCTCTTACAAAATTATTCCAATTTATTTACAAAATTTTAATACTTTTAGAAGAAACTTTGTATTGTAAAATGGTTTACTAATTTTCCAGTAAATATAACTATTACATCAAAAAAGAAAAAAAAACTTGATTTTATTGTGTTTTAATTAGGAGTACTTTTACCAGTAATAATAAGAATAGTGAAATTGGTGCAAATTTTAAAACCAACATGCAACCTACACATGATTATGGAAAAGTTTTTGGTCGATTAGATTAATATAATAAATATCATTTGATAGTGCCCAGGAAAAGAATTATTGCAACTGTGATCATTAATTTGCAGGATGACATCAAGTTTTTTTTGCAAATAGTCATTAAAGTTTACAGTAGTTTGTTGGGTTTCTACTTATAGCATAGCATTAGTCACACAAGTAGGTTTTACTTTAGTTACACAAACAAGTTTTACTTTTCTTATGCAGACATAAGGTTATAATTTTTCTTTATTTTATCTAATCCATTTTTGGTATTTTTAATATTATATATACAAACACACACACACACATATAATACAATATTTTTGTATTTTTATATTTTTAAAATATCTAAAAAATAAAAATTTGTGGGGCTTACATCCCACATCCTGGGGCTTTTGCCTATCTGGACGAACACAAAATGCCCTGTCCAACACCTTCACCTTTTAAAACACTACTTATAACATATTTCAAGTTTCTCATGATCCCTTACAGTAATTGCTATGTTTGCTTCATTATCCTGAAACATGGTTTTAGTGTGACATTGCCCTCGATTTATAAGACTGATAAGAAGAGGGTTGAATTTGTGAAATGTCATAGACCAATGGCTATCAAGTGTTTGATGAAATGACTATGTAAAACTTGGGATATTGAGTTCTTAGGTTGATTGCAAATGCTACATTAAATCTAAATGGTGCTTTCGGGATCTTTTGGGAAGGTTCTTTGAACAAAAGAATTGCTCATTATTGTTTCTATTGATATCTAAAACTAATAAATTAGCTTTATTATAATTCAAATTTTGACCCTTTGATATATTCTAGACCTAAGTGGTTCAACATTGTCACTCAACTTGCTGTCCAGGTTCTTCAACTTCTTTGCACTGAATTCACTGCTAACTTTCCAAGCTTACGTTAACTTTAGGGTCTTCTCCCTTTTTTCAGTATTTTCTTTTTTTTTTAGCATTGAAGTAACTAATTGTCTTATTTAAACTTTATACGTTGGCATGCTAATATTGCTTTTAGGTAATGAAAACTGAGTGTAACCTAACCTAATTACATTTTCCTTCTGTTTTGCCATCTTGATAATACCGGACTCTTGAGACTTTTCCACATATTTCTAAAAGTCTCCTATGGCTTGCCAGTTTGGTTTCCTGATTGGTTTGTAAAGAATTGACACTTTAACATACAGTTATGACTTTTTAGTATGTATTTATCTATCTACATTTTACCTCTTAAAACAACTATGCAAAAACATGTGAATTATATATCATGGGCCATGGCACGGCAGCACAGCCTAGTAAATATACACACTCACACGTATTTCTCAGAAACCTCGTGATAAAACATGACTATTGAACGTGCCAAAATATGACAAGAAGGTAATTTCTCCTTTCATGGCAATTATATACAGCAAAATTAATATATTATAGACAAAATACATGCCGTTTGCAAGGAATTCCAAGCTCCAGGGAGTTTGAACTCAAAATCCATTACCACGAAAAGTCCAAACAGCAATGGATTTCCAACTGAAAATCCATTTACCATAATTTATTCAATAGCAGGAGATAGCATACTACACTAGAATTACGCTTCCATTTATTTATGTAACAGCTAGAACAATTTGCTGTTTGTTTCCTTAGATGCTAGCAGCATTTTAGCATGATTCTGCAGCCTCCAAGATGATAAGGGTTTAGTTTACGTATTTTTAAGTACTTCTTATTAGTTAATTTTGGTTTGATTATTTAGTTTTATAACTAAAATAACTAAAGTTTTGGTAAAAATCTACATTTTATGTTAAAGGGGCTAACATTGCATTTCTATTGATTTTAATCGTAAAAACTTCATTTTCATGCAGGATTAATGATTCAATCACCAAAGGATGTCAATTGAGGAGAAAAGTGGATAATTGGTGATGAATTTAAGTGATAAAGAAGAAATGAAGTGAATTGAAGAAATGCAAGTGAAAACAATTCTAACATATTGTTGTATTTCAATTATATCTGGAGCTACACATATCAGATTGAGGTGATCTTTATACATTTTAGAAGCTAAGAGACAGATGTATATTTGGTATGAAGACATCGAAATTCAATTCTACTGTTTTCATGGACAAAAAGTCGAAATACAGAAGCTGCACTCTATGGACGAAGTTGAAAACATGGGTTTGACCAGGTTTTGGTATTTTGGTCATATCTCAGTCTACAAAACTTCGATTTAGATGATTCTTGAAGCACTGTAAAACTAACTCAAAGAGCTACAACCTTTGTGTTTTGTACAAAAGCTAGTTCGGCCTCCATAATAAAGAAAATCGCAGTTGAAATGAAGCCAAGTTGAAAACGCGAGTTGATGTCGCATTTTGTGTTTCGTGTTTTGTAGCTGAAATTCTGCAATTTGCTCAGCCATTTCTCTTGTGTTCATACTAGTTTCCAGCTATAAGTTTGCAAGGGAATTCGGTGCACATGCTTTAGAAGACAAAAGGGTAGAAAATATGGCTTATTGTCAAGTCAAAAACCTTTGTTTTTGGCTATCTTAACAAAAGGAGATTGGAGAATCATAGTAGCAAATTTGGACTGGTAAGGAGAGGAGCTTTTCATCAGTTTATATGCAAAGACATTTGGGAGGTCTGAGAATCATACAAAGGAAAGCTTGGAGTGCAGAAATGTAGTTCTTCCATTTCCTTAGTGTAGGATAGTTTAGCTAGTTAGTTCATCCATTCTGGTATAATGGTTAGATTAGGATGAAGATAGAGATGAAGAAAGAGAAGTTGAAACTCAAGTGACATGGGTTATCTCTTCTCCAACTCTTTATCTTTTGTATTGGATTTTTAAGTATGATTAATATGCAAGTTCTGGATTTTGTGTTTATTATGTGTCTTTAAAGTTTATGTCTTGGGTTTGGTTGAACTCTCTATGATTGTTAATGTATATTATTTGGCTATTTGATTGCTATTATTTGAACAAGTTATTTAGCACTTTGGCTCTTTAAATCATAATTAATCTGGTACTATTAATTGTGATTATCTAAGGTATTATTTCTGCAATGAAAATTGAGATTTAATATTGGTTCAAGAAGTGCTAAACATAGGAAGTACAATTACGAGAGTAGAGGTGCACCTATGTGGTTTTGGTGATTAATTTCATGTAATTTCATTGAAAAAATGAACTTGTAGCTAATTTCATAACCATGAGAATATGTATTTATTAGTTATGAGTATAATTAATTCACTACGAAGGTAGGATTCAAATGCATAAGGAAAGTACACAATAACTAGCCTAGATAGTAGTATTCAATGATTTAAATATAACACTTGCATGAGTAGTTAGGGATACCATAATCTAAGGAGTTTTCATTTATTATTTTATATAAGTTCAGTCGGTTTAATTTCTTATAATTCATTGATAGTCTAAATAATAGAGAAGCTTTAGTAACATCGGTAATTGTTCAATCTTTCTCGTGAAATCGACTCGATATATACCCTAAACTATTAATTAACCTGTATACTGATGTATTTCGGATTTTTTAACTTGTACGTATATTAAAATCCCGTCACAAGACACTTGAACGAAGGCCATACACAGATACAGTCACGACAGCAGCTCAGCAGACTGTCCAAGCAGGATTTGCCGACATGTAGACATCTCTCTTCTAGACCATCATCAACTCCAACCCCAAGCGTTTTTATAATCTGTCCTCCAATTGGCAGCATTTTCTTGATGCAATAGTTTTGACAGCATTGGTGGTTTCTGTAGCATCCCCAGCTTCATCTTTCCCCAGCACCACACCTGCAAAAGTTTGTTGACAGCATTGGTGGTTTCTGCATCAGCATTTGATGTTTCGCCATACTACGATTTAAAGATGTGCCCCACGGCAGATATGCAGCAGGATTGAAATTTTGGAATAACTTTGATGTGAAGTTAAATTAAATCCTATTTTTACGTATGGATCATAAGCAGATATAACGAGTATTCAAGTGCCGTATCCCACAGAGAAGATTAAGCAACTATTAATGTTTATTGAACTTCTCTATTATTTAGATTATAAATTAATTCAACAATTTAAAATAATAAACAGAATTCAATTAAAACTAAAATAATTAAAGACAAGCGGGTTTTTCAGAATATTGGAGGGGAGCTCGTTACTTGTGCTAATGTGCACCGAGAGAATCTGGGAGTTAATGTGCGCTTTTCTTCTTTTTCTCCATAGATGCAGATTGTGAGATCTGTGGAGGAAATTACTTGAAATTGATCAGCCCAATGACAAGTAAATATAGTGTAACAGCTCTCCAGTAGATATCTAGTAGTTTTTATGCTTTTCTCTTTTGTTCCTTTAGTTTTTTCCTTGTTCTCGTAGCTCGACTTGGTTCAGCTAAAGCTTGGCTTGGGTTTAGGCGTAGCAGAATTTCTATCCTCGAGATTACTTCTATTGCTTCCTACGCCTTCACAAGAGCTTAGATTTTTAAGTTCTCTCAAGATTAAGTTCAGCTATGGCTGGTTTATCTAATTCCTTGACTGGACCAACTTCGAGGAGTGTGGAATTACAGGATGGATCTGCGAAACAAGTTTCATGGGCTGATTGCTTTCAGAATGGCATTGGATCGGATGTTAAAGCTAAATCATGGGCACAAGTGTTTCGTGATCATGCAAATGTTCATGATGGATTAGGTTTAGCATACTTTCCTCCTTTAAAGGAACCAATTATGAATGCCCAAATTGACATGGTTGGTGTAGAAGAAGAGATCATGAAGTGGAAAGGCGCAGTATTGGGATTTGTTTTGGGATTAACTCCTCCTTATTAAATTATCCGAAAATTTGTTGAATCAAAACCCCAACAATTTGGTAAGATGGATTGTACTCTTCTGAAATCTGGACTGTTTATATTTCACTTTGAATCAGAAGAAGCTAAGACTAAGGTGTTGGATCAAGCTCCATGGCCATTTACGAGTAAAATGTTATTCCCTAAACCTTGGACTCTTGAACTGGATTTAGCAAAGGATAAGATGAAATTTGCCTATTTAGATTAAGCTACCTAATCTAAAACTACTCTACTAGTCAGTTAAAACTCTAAGTAAACTGGTGTATATCTCAGTTCATAATTTTTGATGATTACAAAACAATTGGATGCTACTAACATACTTTGAAGAGTTCATTTCAGGATTTGGAACAAAAACCAGACCAAAGACTTGAAGCCAAAACTGGATCAAGGTTTGACAATTAGTTGTGTAATCTCCTTTAAGCTTTTCAAGTGTGATTCAATTTCTTCAAAAGTGTAGCTTTGTGAGGGTTATCCGTGCAAGTGTAAAACTTCCTTACTTGATCAAGTGAGACTTAAGGCAAGGAGGAAGTGATCCTTCCTTTATACACAAGAGATTGGTTGAAAGTTGATCATATTGAAGTAGCTTGATATATAAAGTGATATTCAAACTTAGTCAAGTTTGAAACTTGGTTTGCAATTCCATCCCTTCATTTACTATCTTGTTATATATATATATTGCATTATCTCTTTTACTCACAGATTACTTGTGCTAGTCCATCAATTGCTTCTCAGTGAGGTCCCCTTGAAAAAGAAAGCAAGGTCGAAAAGAAAAAAGTGATTCATATTTTGGCTTGTTTTTATATAACCTAATTCACCCCCCCTCTTAGGTTGTATTTGATCATTACAACTGGCTAGCTTTATTGATAAACTATTATACACTGACAAGCCTATAGCTGGTTAGGATGCGCTTGATAAAATTGAAGTTAAAAATCTAAAATCTGAATAGTACAGATCTAATAGTTCACCGATGTATAAAGAAATGGATATTGGATGCTGTATAGTGCAAAGGATTATTGCTAAGTGGATGCTAATTGCTAATTTTTAATAAAAGTCCAAATTCTCGCCCAAAAAAATAATTAAAGACAAACGATTCAGAGCTTAGATTTTCTCAATTATCCTAAAATTTTTTTTTATCTTGATTAATTAACTCATGTTCAATGACTATAATAAATCTCTTAATGTTGTAAAATCGGCTCTGGCCAAAATCAACCGTACCAATTGCTAGATTTTATTTATTTTTGTGATCTAAATCTTAAAAAAAATTTTTATCTTGATTAATTAACTCATGTTCAATGACTATAATAAATCTCTTAATGTTGTAAAATCAGCTCTGGCCAAAATCAACCGTACCAATTACTAGATTTTATTTATTTTTGTGATCTAAATCTTAAAAATTTTTTAATCTTGATTAATTAACTCATGTTCAATGACTATAATAAATCTCTTAATGTTGTAAAATCGGCTCTGGCCAAAATCAACCGTACCAATTACTAGATTTTATTTATTTTTGTGATCTAAATCTAATTAAAGACTCATTGACTGCTTCTCTCTAAGTGTTCCCCTATTTTTGTGAGTTGATATTTAAGTTTATGTCTTTTCAAACTAGTATTAATTAATAAATTTATAATGAAATTATGATGCATATAAAAGCAAGTAAAATCATGTTGGTTTTAGCTTGTAGGTTGTGAGACAAAAATGGTTACCAATCAAAACAAACTTGTAAATCCAATTTCACAGACCCGAACCAAAAAAAGAAAAAGGGAACCACGTGGTGAAGAGGTGGCCAAGGGTGTGTAGGCTCAGCACAAGCTTATCATCAATTTTTTGAAGTAGATGAAAAATTATTCCATGCATTAATTAAGTCCGTACAATGAAAATGGTGGACAATCACTCATAACTACATCCAAACTATATTAGGTGATTGTCACACTCATAAATTTGCTTGATTGTCACATCGTGGGCTTATGAGTGGTCGCATATATTTATGACAGTCACCAAAAATGGTATTATTTAAATCTATAGATGTTGAATGCAGTTAAAATTTTTTGAATGAAATACCCTTCTCTCATAAAGCCCACCATCGGTCCCTACAATTTGACTGTCAAAATCAACATTTAAGGAGCGGTTGTTGAAGATTAATATTAGTTTGAACGTTTCAAAAATGTATTGTACCGTCAATCATTGAGCCTCAATCATTGAGCCAAGACTAACTTGAATGGACAAAATTGATCAAAAAATTGAACGAACTTTGACTCCAAAAGTTAAGAGAAAAGCCCAGACACATAAAAAGAAGTTATCTTGGACGGAGACGATAAAATTTAGAAATGAGTTCTATTATTCATGGTGTTCCAATATCATTGATATTTGCGAGTGTTTATATAGAATTAGCCTACAAAGATAATAGCTATAAAAGATAAAAACTTATCATCAAACTAAAAATCAAATAACTTGATATAACAACTTATCAAAGATGCTGCTAAAATTAATCAACAAATCTATCCCCCACAAAAGCTAAGCCAAATGTTTGCACTTCTCTCCAAGTATTTGCAGCATATGTACATGCAAAAAATAATGATTAATAGTTTCTGGTGCCTGCTTACATAATACACAACTACTATCAATGATTATCCCCCAATTTAGGAGTCTAGTCTTTGTAAGAGATCTGCCTTTGCAGGCTAATCACAAAGCAAAAGAAAATCTTGGAACTGATCGCTCACCCCATACTAGATTAGACCACACAACTTCTGGCCCTTTTTCAGTGGAGAGATTTCAAGAGGGGCAGATCCCGCCTCGATTGCTGGTAATAATGAGGAGGACGATGATGATGCTTATGATGATGAAGAAGCAGACTTTTCAGGTGGGTTTGTAGGATTGGATCCAGCAGCGGAAGCAGTCGAGAAATTTATTGTTGAGGGATGTGAAGATGATACTAATACTATACTGAAGGGTTTGGAATTGTGGGGTATGGGGGATCAGGGAAAACCACACTTGCCCGGAAGGTTTTCTGGAATTTGAGAAATATGTTCTGGCCAAGGATTTGGGTTTCTTTGTCTGGGACCCTGTATGATGCGCCGGTGAGCGGGAGTTGAGAGTGAAGGTTTTAATGAAAATGCTGGAGCAGGCTGGTTGTGATGTCTCAGAATTGTCGACTACTAATGTTGGCGATATTCCCAATCTCACTGAGAAGCTTTACCGTCGACTGACGGGCAAGAGGTATCTTATTGTGTTGGATGAGGTCTGGCATGTTAATGGTTGGTATGGGGATTTATGCTCTGAGCTGCCAAAAGGCGATGATGCATCATTCGGGGACTGCATATCTCACGCCTTGCCCAAAGATAGTGGTGGGAGGATCATTGTCACAAGTAGGCGAGAGCGTGTTGCTAGAGAGATGGTGGGTAGAGAGAACTTGAAGCCAATTGATACTCTGATGGACCGAGAGATTGGCTGGTCAGTGTTTTCTGAAGCTGTCCGTGAAGAAGGAAGAGTTGATGTGAATAACAACACTCTGTTAAAGATGGAGGAGATAATCAGCAAAAATTGTGCTGGCCTTCCCTTTGTTGCCAGGACTTTAGCAACGATAATTCCAGAACAAATCCAAAAGGAGGAGGAGGAGGACGCTTTACGTCTAGCTGAGAAGCGACGAAAGGAGAATCCACTACGAGGGGATAGGAATGCATTTTTAGTCGCTCGTCTAACTGAGATCCGACGAAAGCAGGGGGCCAAGCGGCGGGAGGCCGGGGTGAATGAGGATTTTACTGATTTTCCAGCGGACCTATCCCAGATTCTGTTTGATAATCCCCCTCCCCACTTCTTAAATCCCATCCCTCCCTTGTTGGGGAAAAAAAATAATGTTAATGGCTCTGTTTACTTTGTTTCTGATGGCAAGATCTTGCGATTTAGTTGTGGTTGTGATTTCTTAGAAGCTGGCATACTTGTGTGTTGTGGAGCTGGAATGGACAAAACTGAGTTCTCACTTTTTTGTCTATCTTGACTTGGCGAGTCCAAATTTCGTTGTAAATTCCTGTAATTTTTCTCTTTAACCAATGAAATTTCTGTGCTGCTTTCTCGCCTTTGTTTGCCTTTTCAAAAAGTCTTTACTTTTTTTTTCTTTTTTTTTTTTTCAGCAACGATACATTTGTATAACCTACTCTATTCTAATCTAGGAGGAGGGGGAGCCTAAGAAGGCTGTTGTAGGGGCTAGTGGGTATACAGACCCAACTAGATTAAGGGAGTGCTATGGCACAACCCTTAAATTTTTTTCAAAAAGCCTTTACTGCTTGACAAGTAGTTTGTAATGCTGAAGGATAAATCTTGCTGGAATCCTTGTGCTTAGGAGTCTAGGAAGGTTTTTGATTAAACTATGAATCCACTTGATAAGCCAACATCTAACCACTGGGCAAAAAAAAAAAAAAAAAAAAATTCAAGAATAGGTAGGGCACTTATCTGGTTTTGAGATTCACCCTCCAGCTGCCATACAACCTCAATTGAGTTCCCTTTCTCTCGTAATGTAGGAGTAGTGTAGATTGCTATATTAGATTAAAAAAAAATCCCCCCATAATATAGGAGTAATGTAGAGTGTTATCGTTAGATTAAAATGGTAGATATATATCATGGCAGTGACGAATTGCTAAATTTCCAAATAATTTGCCAAATTAGTGATAAAATTTCCTTGTAACGTATCTAATTGTTTTCTTTGTTAGAAAGATGCTAAGCCAATTAAGCATGTGACCACAAATGCAAAACCAAAGATCATATCTTCGAAGGGCTTCAAAGAAGGTAGTTTATAGAACATTAGTCTTTTTTCCAGTCACAAATTTTTTTTTTTTAAAAAGGAATTGTATTCATTGTTTGTTCAGTCACAATAATTGAAGAGCAAAGCACCCAAAAAAAAAAAAAAAGAAATGAAGAGCAAAGCTGTGATTTTAACCCCTAGAGTTAGTTGATTACAGTTAGAGCCGGCCAAAAAGTCCAAAACCCAACAACCCGTCCGTTAATTTTAGAGGATGGGTTAGGCCAATTGGGTTATGGGTTTTGTTGGGTTGGGTATGAACAATCCAACTTATTTATTGGGCGGGTTGGATTTTTTATTTGGGTATCCAATACCCAACTTGTTTAAAAGTAATTCAAAATAATAAATACATGTATGTTATATTTCATGTATGTATAATATTGTACAAATTTCTTTTTTAACCTTTTAGCATTATATAATATTTTATTCTTCTAATTTACAAACAAAGCTTACTTTGTATCGGCCTAATTTTTCGCTAATTCAAAATAATGCGGTCCCGATGAGGTAAAAATGTTAGAATAGTTCATGAATTCTCTTCTCATTTATTTCTTAAAAAGTTTGGGATTTTCCTTAATAATTTTTTGGGGACCAATACTAGTACTTTCTACGAGCATATAATATTTTCTACTTTATATCAGTGGTGTGGTAATTCTAAAAGATTAATATGACCATAGCATTAAGTATGATTCTAGATGATTCTAATTAATCTGGTGATGTGTATCAAATCAATAAAAAAAATACCTTCTAATATATATATTATATTATATAGATCATGATATTAATTTCGAATCAATATAGTTGACTTGTAGATTCTATTTCATTTTGATTAATTATGGCAACTTGGGCAT